TTTTGGAAACAGCAATTTAATCTGAAAATAATCTAAAACCTGTGGGCTGAAGCTCACCTTCCCCCTGAATGTGGAGGTGGGGAAAGGCGAATGTATTACATCATCTTAGGCTCTTCATTCAGTCTCATACTTGCTCACCTGAGAGCACTCTTCTGATAGGTAAATGGTCAGTTGGGACAGGGAAGAAACTTCATCTGGTTAGATGGTGGTTACCCAGAGCACTGAGAATTGTGAGGCTTTCTTGAGGTTATCCGGAGAAAAATGTCATAGGGAAAGGGCATAATGTGGCATCTTTGTGACATTCATCAAGAGCATGCTATGTGATGGATATGTTTATTATCCTGACGGATGATTTTATGGCTGCTATACAGAAAATTGTATTGCTGTTTCTCTGTCAACTATATGAACAAAGGTGTTTCTTTTAAAAATCGCATTATACCAAACACCTAGGTCTTCCTGCTTTTAGAAAAAACCTGGACAAATGGAGAAAAAGTAAAAGAGTAAGAATGTGTACCTGTGTCCACTATATGAGTGGAGAGTTACATTGCTTACACTGTATGTGTGAAAGAAGCAGAGTTTAAAGGGAAGAGCAGAGACCTTGCCTTCACGTAGATTCCCTGCTTAAGAGAAGCGTAGTTCTGGGTGGAAAAGCGTAGTTGGACAAATAATTACTTGGCATATGAGATCTAGGGTCTTGAAAGTCCCAGCCTTTCCAAAGAACAGTGCTAGTTAATGGTGATGACTAGAACTGGGGTGTCAGGACAGGTGGTGTGGTAGGGTTCCACAGGAAGAGGCCCAAGAGCAGTGCTGCCTGACACTGTTTCTCTGACTACTCACCCTGTAGAGTGCTCACCCGTAATTGTGTCCCTTTACTGACAGCAACATTTCTCTGCTTCCAGGAATTCAAAAAGTGAGTGGACTAGTGATTTAATTTTGTCAACCAAGAATCTGGTTAAATTTAAGTGTGAATTCTAAGATACTAAATGCATGTATGGCATGCGTCGTCTACTAAACCCCTCTCCATTTCTGTAAATTTATTCAACCACTATGAAAACAAAGTAAAAAAAAAAAACCCCAAAAAGTTAACCTATATATACAAAATTACTTTAAATATACAAAATACCCCAGTGGATTATTGGGCAAAGAGAACAGTACTGACTTCCCAATACAATGTTAACAGTGGAGACACTGAAAAATTCACCTTTCCCACCTTAGAAATGCAGAGCAAAACAACATTAAACTATGGTACGAGGGTTAGGAGGAGACAAGTTTATAACCGTAATTGGAGAAGAGGTAGAATAAGAAGCTTCTTAACTGTAACTTTCTTTTAGAACAAGACATGGGATAGGACAGGATTCCCCACCTAGGCCATAGAAATTTGGCTGTGCCTTGGGCCATTTCTTCTGTGTGGACACCTCTCGGAACTTGGGTCTGAAGTGCTTTCTGCCTTCTTTCTATCTACTGGGCACAGTACAGCCTAAACCTTTTATATGTTCTCTTAAAACTTGTTTGACTAACTCTTAACTCAAAACCCTGACTAATCCTTAGAGAGTGGCCTTAACTGAAATTCCAAGGCTAGTCTGGGTTCAGCTTTCTGTAGGTTACTGCTTAGAACCCAGTGTTCACCTAGAGCAGCTCAACACCAGTGGCTACTTGCCCAGAGACTGGTATAGCCATGCGTCATATTTCTTAGCACCAAATCTACCTGAAATTGTTTATGGTCAAAGATAGCTATTGCTATCTGAATTGTACTATGCTACTCAGACAAGACTAAGCCATGAAAAGGGGGTAGCAGGAAAACTCAAAGGTGAGGGAATTTAATGATAGAAACTGCAAACAGGTGAAGTAAAACCTGTGCCTCTGGGAGAAGCTATTAAGTTTCCTTGGAGGGATTTGTTGAAGGCAGCTGTCTGTGATTGTAATTATCACGACCTCCAAACCCTGTATACCTATATGGAGGTGAGACGATATTAGATGTTGTAACTCAAGCCACTGGCTTTTGAACCTCCTTTTGTGTGGAATACTATCACATGGCGAAGTAAGAAAAAGTTGCTGTAGGAGCAGCAGGAGAATGTACAGAACCCTTTCTCTAGCCTACTTTCCCAGCGGGCTCAGAATATACAGGTTACTGGCAAACACAATTTGAAAGTGCTTCAATAAAATACTTCATCTTATGAAAGATGCTCACCCATTTTTTTATTAAAAACTAAAGCCAGTCTCTATTAAGAAAGACACCTCAAATAAGTGATACCGGAAATAGCTCAAATAAACTGCTTGTCATTCCATTCATAGTTGGTTTGTAGTGCAGCTGGAAGAGCTGTCAGTTAACTAGTCTCCCCTAAGGAGGAGGTCAGAGAAGCAAATTTTCAAGACTGCCACAATCCTGGAATACAGCGAAGATGCTTTGAAGTTGGGACTCTTGTTTAGATAGCATTTGGAACCTAACTCTGTTTCCTAATCCCAAAACAGTGTTAGAAATGCTGACAGAGTTCCTTAAATGCCTGAAGAATTGAGGCATATGGCTCAGGAATATACCTGCTTTTGGAATCTGGCTTTTATGACAATGGTTGTGAGGGAGATATTTTATTCGATAATGAGGAATGTTTGATGTAAAATTGTGATTCTCATTTACTGGCAAATTTGGAAAAAATAAGCTGGCCCTGAGCATTGCAGGTTCTGATCAGTATTAACTAGCTGGGCCTGATGGTTATTACCTTTATTCTGGGACTTCAGGCAATATTCAACCCCTACAGCTACCACAAATGCAGCAAATCCCCATTTAAATCCTTTTAGTAATTCATCAACATAGGACACATTGTTTGCAAAGCCACTCATGTATCTCCAAGCTTCACTGTGGCCCCACAGATCCCTTAGCCTGGGTATAGCCAGCTTCTTCTGTACTGTACCTTCTATCTTCTATTGTTCATAATCTGGAAGTTGCATTCTATTATGACCATGTTCATGTCCATATCCATGTGCTGGAGTCCAACCCCAGCAGGTCCAAGGGTCCCCAAAGGTGTGGACAGAGTCGGCGAGGAAGGAAAGACACGGAGACAGCCTTCAGTTGATCAGCAGCCTAGCCAGGATCTCTAGCCAGGATCTCCAGCCAAGTTCTGGTCAGGATCTCCAGCTAAGTTTTGGTGTTTATAGTCTTGTTACATCTGTATTTTTTTAAAAAATATATTTTATTGATTTTTTACAGAGAGGAGGGGAGAGGGATAGAGAGTTAGAAACATCGATGAGAGAGAAACATTGATCAGCTGCCTCTTGCACG